GCCGCCATCTGTTGTTCGTAGATTTGATTGTCATTCATTCAGGATTTTTTCTTTCAGATAATTCTTTGCTTTTATCTTCTAATCATCCACGGTAAATTATAGACAAATAAAAGCTCATTTTCTCTATTAAAAAAAAAAAAGACTTACTCTTCTATGGGAGGTGATCAGGACTCGGATGGAGAACAGCGAATGGAACCAGATCCACCTCTTTCATCTCATCATCTCATTTCACTGGAAGAACAGGCAGAATTAGCAACACTATATAGTGTCCTCTCTTTCTTTTTTGCACAACTATGGTTGAATTTACATAAAAGTACGAATGGTGTGACTCCATTGCACTAACTATGGAATCTTGTTTCCTGTTTGTATTAGTTATTTATTGCTGCATAACAAATTACCCCCAAATTTAGCAGCTTAAAACAACAAATATTTATTATTTAATTGTTTGTGTGCCAGGAATCTGGAAGTGGCTTAGCTGAGTGTTTGTTGCTCAAGGTCTTTTAGGAGATTGCAGCCAAGGCTGCAGTCATCAAAAGACCCAACTGGGACCGAAGGACCCAATTCCAAGCCCACTTATATGGTTGTTTTCAGGTTTTAGTTCTTGCAGGCTGTTGGATCAAGAGCCTCAATTCTTTGCGGGTTTCAGGTGCTTGTCATAACACACGGGCCTCCTGGAAGCCAAAGGAGAATTTCAGGAAGGAGGAAATGGTCAGGTGAGTCAGTGGCATATAGAAAAGGGCACCTGAGTCTAGCAGCTGCAAGCTCACTGGAGAGTGGGGAGTGGGTGGGGAACCACGTCACAAGGTTGGTTGAGAAGGGAATTGGAGGGAGGGAAAGGGAGACAGCCAGTAGATCCTAAACCAGGGTCTGCAACAGCTGCTGGTTTGGGCCACCTGGGGAGCTTATAAAAATATACCAATTCCTGCCCAGCCAGCGTGGCTCAGTGGTTGAGCATCGACCCATGCACCCAGAGGTTGCCATTTCCATTCCCGGTCAGGGCACATGCCCAGGTTGTGTGCTCAATCCCCAGTAGGGAGTGTGCAGGAGGCAGCCGGTTGATGTTTCTCTCTCATCAATATTTCTTTCTCTCTCCCTCTCCATTCCCCTCTCTCTAAAATCAATAAAAAACATATGTAATAAAGAAAAAATTTACCAATTCCTTAGAGTTAATAACACTGTATTGTATGTTTGAAGTTGCTAACAGAGTGGATCTTAAAAGTTCTCATTACAAGAAAAGAAAAAAATGTAATTTTGTGGTGATGGATGTTAACTAGACTCCTTGTGGTGATCATTTCACAATATATAGATATATTAAGTCATTATATTGTACACCAGGAACTATGTTATATGTCAATTATATCTCATTTAAAAAACAATACCAGAAAGAGGAAGAAACCAAGATGGAGGCATAGGTAAACACCGGAGTTTGCTGCCTCGAACAACCACTTCAAAAATACAACTAAAAGACGGAACAGACATCATCCAGAACCACAGGAAGGCTGGCTGAGTGGAAATTCTACAACTAGAAGGAAAGAGAAAAGCATACCGAGACTCAGAGGAGGCGCAGTGCGGAAGTAAAATACTAAGGTGCTGAGGTGCATGCGGAGTGGGCTGGCAGCTGAGAGCGTGGTTGTCGTTTTCAATCGGGAGGGAGTCTCAGGCTCTGAGCTCCAGTTCTGGGCGAGTCTCTAGGGACCCAGACTCATACGGGAGAAGCAGGACTGTCTGGCATCGGTTGGAACTCGAGGGCAGCTTTCTCTCGGAGGGGCTTGCAGTGATTACCGGGACATTGAGAAGCAGAGCCTCTGAGAGCAGGACTGAGAGCAGCCGTAACTGCTAGCCCCGCCCTGTTGATCCCGTGGGACCCGCCCCACCCAAGCCCTGCAGGGAGGCTTTTGCTGGATAGCCTCAGGCAAAGGCTAGATTAGCACCTCCCTAGAGATCCAGGAGCCAGGAAACCCAGAGGTCAGAGTGGGACCATCCAGTTTACAGCTCCGTGGAACCATAAAGGACACACTCAGGGGGCAGACTCAGTGAGCACCAAAGCCCCATTGAAGCAAGTCTTGCCCCAGAGGGGTGTCTCCAGCACAGAAGTTCTTCCACTGCAGACAGAGCTGATTCTCACAGCCAATTGGTCTAGAGGTCAATTCCTCCCAGTGTTACCTACAACAATCAAGGCTTAACTACAACAAGACTGTGCACAAAGACCACAAGGGGGTGCACCAAGAGTGTCCTCCTCAGGTAATTGGGGAGGCTGAACCACTGGGCCCTAGAGGACACTTAGCACAGAAAACCACTTTATCAACACAGGAAAGCATAAAAAATGTGGAGACAAAGAAAAAGGACACAAATGACAGAAATGGAGGAAAGCAAACTACTGGATATAGAGTTCAAAACCACACTTTTAAGGTTTTTCAAGAATTTTCTAGAAACTGTCGATAAACTTAATGAGACCTACAAGAAATCTAATGAGACCCTCCAGGTTGTGATAAAGGACCAACTAGAAATTAAGCATACACTGACTGAAATAAAGAATATTATACAGACTCCCAATAGCAGACTAGAGGAGCGCAGGAATCAAGTCAATGATTTGAAATACGAAGAAGCAAAAAACACCCAACCAGAAAAGCAAAATGAAAAAAGAATCCAAAAATACGAAGAGAGTGTAAGGAGCCTCTGGGACAGCTTCAAGCGTACCAACATCAGAATTATAGGGGTGCCAGAAGAAGAGAGAGAGCAAGATATTGAAAACTTATTTGAAGAAATAATGACAGAAAACATCCCCTACCTGGTGAAAGAAATAGACTTACAAGTCCAGGAAGCCCAGAGAATCCCAAACAAGAGGAATCCAAAGAGGACCACACCAAGACACATCATAATTAAAATGCCAAGAGCAAAAGACAAAGAGAGAATCTTAAAAGCAGCAAGAGAAAGAAAGTCAGTTACCTACAAGGGAGTACCCATACGAATGTCAGCTGATTTTTCAACAGAAACTTTGCAGGCCAGAAGGGAGTGACAAGAAATATTCAAAGTGATGAATGCCAAGAACCTACAACCAAGATTACTTTATCCAGCAAAGCTATCATTTAGAATTGAAGGTCAGATAAAGAGCTTCACAGATAAGGAAAAGCTAAAGAAGTTCATCACCACCAAACCAGTATTATATGAAATGCTGAAAGGTATCCTTTAAGAAGAGGAGAAGAAGAAAAAGGTAAAGATACAAATTATGAACAACAAATACACATCTATCAACAAGTGAATCTGAAAATCAAGTGAATAATCTGATGAACAGAATGAAGTGGTGATTATAATAGAATCAGGGGCATAGAAAGGGAGTGGACTGGCTATTCTTGGGGGGGAAAGGGGTGAGGGGGATGCGGGAAGAGACTGGACAAAAATCGTGCACCTATGGATGAGGACAGTGGGTGGGGAATGAGGGAGGAGGGTGGGGTGGGAACTGGGTAGAGGGGAGTTATAGGGGGAAAAAAGAGGAACAAATGTAATAATCTGAACAATAAAGATTTAATTAAAAAAAAATACCAGTTCCTAGGACACCCCATTATTTTTATTTTTACTTTGTTTGCAAGGAAGCTGAAGTTGAGAAGAGTTAAATTACTTGCTCAAATTCCTATGGCTAGGAAAGGGCAGAGTTGGGGTTGGAACTCAGGCTCATTTGGAAGCCAAAGCTCACTTGAGTAAGGGACATGCTAGCCTGGCTCCCCACAAACCCACGTGAACATGAACCCTGGCTCTCCACTGATAGCAGGGTGGACTTCCACAGGCAGGCAAACAATCATGCCGAAATGGCAGGTAAAAGACTGTACGGTGAGGGCCACCAACAGTCTAAGCAGAGTTTCTGGCACTTTTTTGCACATTGAAATCATCTGGGATTTTTAAAAAATACTGAAGCTTGTGTCCCACTCTACCTATTAAATGGATCTGGGATAACATTCCAGGCATCCCAATTAAAAAAACAAAGACAAAAATAACCTACCCGAGTGATTCAATTTGCAGCAAAGTTTGGGAACCACTGGTTTAATCCATCCATTCTTAGTTTGGGGTGGGGGTGGGGGTCACACAGCTCTTTAATCCAATGAAGGCTATGGTCCCTCACTCTAGACTAGTGGTTGCCAACTGGGGCACATGCCCCATATGGGGGCAATTTGATTTTTAAGGGGGGCAATTCAAGAATGAGTTATTAACAGTGAATTTTTTGCATTTCTTATGGTTCTAGGGGGCCTCACATACAGTATAGAAATATATATTGTGACATAGTTATGCATTTCAGTTCTCTGTTACACGTTTTGAAACTTTGCTATTTTTCATATCATTTTATATTATTTTTTGAAACAATTTCTTAGTGATTTCTTCCTCAGTACTTCAACCGTCCTTCCGTTCTTTTATTTTTCTCTTTCATAGATGCCATGTTCTTTGGAAGCCTGTTTATACCAAGTTAATGGCCTTTTAGGCTTCCTCCACGTGAATACTCACTTTCTGAATAAGAATTCTATGTGGGATCAGGATTTTAGAGATGCTTAGGTGGGGCATGGCCCCCAAAAAGTTGGGAGCCGCTGCTCTACACACTTATTTAGATACAAAATCTGGCACAGAATTTCAGGGCTTTTACAGATCCTAAGGCGAATCTGGGAACCCCTTGGGGGATGGTGTTTCGTGGTCTCCAGTAAAAATCCCGATACAGGAGTATCCAACTCCAATGACGGTGACCCGCGCTCGGTCCCCTCCAGAATGGCACAGGCCCTTCTCCTTTCCAGAAGCCTCGGTCTCACCATCACCCAAGCCGAGTTCCCGCGCGGCCGCGGTGTGCGGCTGTGCACGCTGGTGTGCACACACACGGGGGTGCACCCGCGAGCTCGCGTTTCCGTTACGGGAGCCGGGCCGCCTCTGGCTGAGGCCGCGGCTGCAGATGCAAGCCCGGCGCCCCTCCCGCCCAGTCCCCTCCCCCGGCAGCCCTCCCTCGCCCTCCTCCCTCCCACCCGCGGCAGCGCCGGCCTCCGCGTGCGCAGGGCAGCGCTCGGCGTGCGAGTCCTTCCTGCAGCCGCCGCGGAGCAGCCGAGCGCCGAGCCGCGGGCGCGCGTGGGGCGCCCTCCCAGCCGCGGGGCGACCATGAGCTGCGGCGGGGGAGCCGCGGAGAGCAGGTGAGCGCGGCCGCCGGGAGGGGGCGGGGGCGGGGGCGGGGGGGGGGTCGGAAGGGGAAAGGGCTGAGCGCGGGGTGGGGGCGGGGGCGGCTGGGCCCGAGGTCGCCGCGTACCGAGGGGCTTTGCCCTTCTGCAGCACCCCGACCCGGGCTCTGCGCCAGCCCTGCACCGGGCGGGGCGAGGGCGCCACCGCCGGCCGGCATCTCCGGTTTGGCCGCACGAACAAAGAGCCGTTCGACGGCGGCACCTGCCCGCGTGGGGTGCGGAGGCGGGGCGCTCCCACCCCGACTGCGAGCCCCAGTCCGCGGCCCCGGCCCCGGCGCTCGCACCTGGGCGGGCAGGCGGCCCCGGGGTCGCGCAGGTGCCCGCGCGAGGCGGCGGCGCGCAGTCGGGAGGCCCGGCGGGCCCGGCCCGGAGGCGGGGCCGACAGGCGGCGCTGCTGCCCGGCGCGGCTTTCCCTCCTGCTACCCAGCCGCGGGGTGGCGGGGCCGCAGGTGAGCGCGATTTGTTCAGCGCCTGGTGGCGATGGGGGCCGGGGGTGGTGGGGGCGGGCAGAGGAGGGCGGGTGGCGCTCCGGAGCCTCCCTTGCAATCGGTGCTGGCCCGGCGCCCTTCCCGCCTTCTGGGCCACTCCCAGCCCCGGGGCGCAGCTTCTGTGTCCTCATCTGCCCCCAGCTCTCGGGCTTCGGGTCTCCAGTGTCCCTGTGCCCTCTGTACCAGGAGGAGGACTTGGGGCCGCAGGCGGGTGCAATATATATAAATTTTTTTTTTCTGAATACTGTCAGCGCTTTGGCCACCGATTTTAAATAGTTTGAGGGGAAGGCAGGATTAGTTTCCTCAACGCCCCTCTTTGCCCAGCGCGGAGCCCCCACCCTTCCCGCCAGCCCCTCACCCCCATGTGGCACTAACACCCAGTCTTGCCACAGACCTTCCTGCTTGAAGGATTTCTGCAATTGCTGTAAAAGTGCCTCTGTCACCAGAGTCCCACAGACCTTGCAAAGCAGCTTTTTGCATGAGAATGTTTACTAGGAGCTGACATGGGAAGGCTCTAAGTGTTGTGGGCTGTCCGGTCCTCCAGAGGTCCCCGCTTCCTCTGCAAAAGCAGGCTTTTACCCCTGGAAGGCCTGTCGCATCTAAAGACACGTGATGGGCGTTTTGTGAAATGTCTCCTTTCAGCAATCCTCCCACTGCAGGAAGTCCACCCAAAGCAGTGCAGAAACGCTCAGATTCAGAGCCTGCAGAGAATTTACCTTTGGGACAGTCACACACTGCAAAACAAAGTTTCTATAGGAACCACTACTAGAGGCAGAAGAGAATGCCAAGGTTTAAAGGCTCCACACTTCATTTTTTTTCATCCATCGTTAAACATTTGGCCCAGCTTCTTTCAGGGTGGGGGCCAGTATTCTTTTGTGTGTGTGTGTCTTCCTTTCTTTATAACACTGTTGCAGTCAGAAAGACAGCCTAGACAAAAAAGGTGCCCCCCCCTTTTTTTTAAAGAATAGTTTATTGATTTTTAGAGAGGAAGGGAGAGAGAGAAAAAACAATGAATGTGAGGGCAACAATGATTGGCTGCCCCCTACACCCCTCCCTCCCACACCTGGATGGAGCCAGCAATCTGGACACGTGCTCTTGACCGGAATCTAGCTGGCAACCTCCTGGTGCATGGGCCAACGCCCAACCAACAGAGTCACACTGGCCAAGGCTATCTCCCCCCCCCCCCCCCCTTGTTGTTAGAAAATGAATAAAACCACACTGGAACATGAACCGAGTCCACTTTGAACGTCAAACACTTCTGAGAGGTTTCACTCAATAGCAAGACTTGTGAATTATTGTTAAAGAGAACATCTCTAAAGTTTTTCCCAAGAAAACAATAGAGGAAGGGAATTGAAATACAGTATGTGAAATTAGCACAGTTTTTTTTTTTTTTACACAAACACTAACCAAGTGCTGCAGGCCGCTCAGAATTGCCAGCTCTTCTTAGGATTGCTCTTAAGATGTGGACCCTTCTCAGCCCTTTCCATCAAAACTTGTTAGTCCACCATCTCATCGTTTGGCCTCCTCAGGGAGGTTGTTGCTAAAGTGTCATTTTCGCATTTCACTGTGGCAACAAAGTCCGTGTAGTTCTGTGTCAGACAAGGGTGAGGTGCAGTCCTTAGTACACTGAAAGCACCCTCTAGATGCTTGCTACTGTTGCTTGCTATTTTTGGCGGCTGCACAATATACCACTCTGAGCACTTAGTCATGTAAGTTATTACAGATTTCTTAAGTATTGAGAAATAGAGTCTCTCCCTTGTATCTAGCTGTCTCCCATATTCTGTCACTTATTTGTCTAATGACACCTTTTTTTCAGTGCAAACTATATGCCAAACAATTTGTTGGATGCTGGGGATGCGGATTCCTTACACACGCACACACACACACACACTCACACTCACACTCATACTCATGCAGAGTGGCCCAGTAAAACCTTTAATCCAGTTGTATAGCAAACATTGGCTCAGGGAGGGAGTAGAGAAGGGATTGCTCCTACTGGGCTGAGTGGTGGAATCCCCCACCCCATGCTCTCCTTGCCCACCCTGGGCACTTAGGATTTCTTTCGATTCCTCCCTCCTCCTTGTCCTCTCACTGCTGGCAATGTTCCTGCTGCTGCCCTCCTCTCTGCCAGCCTAGTCCCAGCCCTTTTCCTTCCCTTTGAAGTACATTATGCAGAGAATTCATTGACAGTTACCAGAAGGAAGAAGGGAATAAGCCCTAAAATTGTCCACCCCCTAATTCCTGCCTCCCCGCCCCCCCCCCCCCCCCCCCCCCGCCCCGCTGTCCTTTAGGGCACATTCTCAATGCATTCAGACTTTTCACCTTGCTCCACTGCCACCCAGGGGCCCTCCCTGTTCAGAACCATGGCCAGCAAAGCTAAAGTCCTAGTTTTCCTTTCCCAAGATGCTGAAAACCCATCCTCTGTGTGCGTGTGTGTCTACGATCATTCAGAAAACACTTCTTAAGTGTACAACCTAATGAATTATCACAAAGTGAACACATTTATGTAATCACCCATGTCGAGAACTAGAACATGGCACCCTAGAAGCGCCCCTCATATTCCTTTTACTGTCATATCCTGCCTCCCCAAAGGAACCAGAGATGAGTTTTACTTGCTTGTAAACTTTATCAAAATAGAATTAATCACACAGTATATACTTTTGTGTCTGGCTTATTTTGTGCAATGCTATATGTGTGAGAGCGATACTCATGGTTGTGTGTAGTAGTTCTTTTGCTCTAATGGCTTACAATATTCTGTTTTATGATTAGATCACATTTTACTTATCTAGTCTATTTTTAAAAATTGTATTTTTACTAGAGGCTTGGTGCACACACTGTTGGGATCCCTTGACCTGGCCTGCGCCCTCTCGCAATCTGGGACCCCTCGGGGGATGTCGGAGGCCCCGTACAGTTTTGACCTGATCCCCACAGGCCAGGCCCAGGGACCTCACCAGTGCATGAATTGTGCACTGGGCCTCTAGTATGCATATAAGATCTTTGCTTAATCTCTTCCTGCTCTCCTCCTTCCCTCTGAGAATCATCAGTCTGTTCTATGTTTCCATGCCCCCTGGTGGTCAGTGTGCATTATAGCTACCGGTCAAACAGTTGCTTAGGTTTTTATATACATATATAGATTGATTTCAGAGAGGAAGGGAGAGGGGGCAAGAGATAGAAACATCATTGAGAGAGAATCATTGATTGCCTGCCTCCTGTACACCCCCTACTGGGGATCGAGTCTGCAACCAGGCATGTCCACTTGACTTTAGTCCACAGGCCAATGCTCTATCCACTGAGCCAAACCAGCTAGGGCAGTGATGGCGAACCTAAGACACACGTGTCAGAGGTGACATGGGAACTCATTTTTTTGGTTGATTTTTCTTTGTTAAATGGCATTTAAATATATAAAATAAATATTAAAAATATAAGTCTTTGTTTTACTATGGTGGCAAATATCAAAAAATTTCTATATGTGACATGGCACCAGAGTTAAGTTAGGGTTTTTCAAAATGCTGACACGCCATCACTGAGCTAGGGTCATCTCTTCTGTTCTTGATGAGCATGGTAGTTATTTCCAGCTTTTGCCTTTTACAAATAACGATGTAATGAATCCTTTAGCCCTTTTCATACCCAAAGAGCCACCAGTTGCACCTGATGTGACTGAAAAAAGGGAGGAAGAGGAGTAGGTGGAGGAGCCAGCCTGGAGAGCCAGCCCTGTGGAGTGCCCATCTTTGCCAGAGCTAAGTTCTTCAGAAGCATCGAAAGCTGTGCTCTCACTCAGGGACCCAGACGTAGAAGGAAAAAAGCCATGGGATGGCTTCTGTCGTGGGCCAGTTGATTGGAAGTGGTCTTTGGGGTGTTTAGAAAAGAAACTGGGCAATGCTGGGAACCCAGCCTGGCCCGGGCAGTGTCCCCTAAGGGCGTCGGTAGCTGGCAGCTCAAGGTGCCTACATCTCTCCTACCTGCCCCTCCTGCCCTCCGCCTGCCTGGTCCACCCCAGGGCCTGGTCCTAGAGGGCTCGGCCCTGAGGAAGTCCTGTCCTTGCCAGCGTGGAGGTGGCTCTGTGGGCTTCTGCAAATGGATTCTGAGGGAAGGCTGTTTTCCTGAAGGACGCCTTAAAGCTACCAGCCTCCTTGGCAGGGTTTTCATCTAGGCTGCAGCTTCTTGAGCTGGGTAGACTGGCTGATATGGCCTGGGAGAGAGGTTTTTCTTGAGGGAAGCGCTTGGGCCTTTTGGATTCCACCCGGCACTGTCTGACCCTGCAGATTGCCAGGGGCCACACAGGGCCAGGCGGTGCCCTTGTGTGACGTGGGAGGCAGCAGGGTCTGGGACCCTGCACTGTGGACTTCCTCCTCGGCGCTCAAGTGTCAGCCCTTCCTGGAGCCTGCCCAGCAGACTCAGTGCTTGCCATCAGTTTGGTTACACAGTGAGGGTTTCTCCCCCTACCTGCCCCTCCTCATCTCCTGCCTC